AAGAATGAAAAAAAGAAGAAGATCAAGAACTCCAAGCTATTGTTAAAAAGCTTAATGATATTTACTTGCTCTTTTCTTTTAACCTGGAAGTTAAATCAAATAAATTAATTTACTTTGCTTTATTCTTGATACAAATCAAAAATTACGGAATCAAAAATTACAGAATGAAAACTCACAAAAAGAAAAACATGCTTACAACAAAACCCATTAAATTTTTTTTAATAAAAACAATAACTTACATACCAAATTCAGGCAAAATAAATAATTGAATGTCTAGAAATAAAGTTATAAATATCCCTTCTCATAATCTAAAATTATAATGGAACAAAACTCCTCTAAAGTGAAAGCCAAAGTTTAGTTAATAATAGCTGGAAAATTAACAAAAATAAAGAAAAAAGAATAGTGCAGATAAAAAGAAGAGGGATTATTTATACCTTAATTTGCTTTCTTTTTTCCCTCTCTTAGTTGTTGTTTTTTTGTTAGGATTCCTTAATGTTACTTAATTTCTTCTTTTTTATCTGGTCATTAAAATTATTTAAATTCCTCAAAATTTATGTTAAAAACTGACTTAACTGCTATCACAATTTTGCTATAATTTAGACTTTACTGCAACTTAGACTTTGTTTCTGACTTGATTTCTTATAATATCCAGCCATTCCAAATGTATTCTTTCATTCATTGAATGTTAGAGGCTTAATTTGTACTTTTCTTGGATTCTAAGGCCCACCATTTCTATATCAAACTTTCAGCCATTGTGAGATGCTTGGTACCATTAGTTTCCTTATCAGATCAAGAGATCAATCTCGTCCTTCAACTTGAGCATGGATTTTCAATTTCAAAATGATTTTATCTAACATTTTATCCTTCATGAAAGTTGTAGTCCTATACATGATTTTAGACTTTTTAATCACATGATTTTGATATATGAAGTTAAAGATATACCTTTTAGAATCTATATTGTAAAGCAGAGAATCTTGCTACAAGTAGGATTTCAACCTGATTTTATAGGTTTGATTAGAGGTTCAAACAAACTTTGATTTCTATTCATAATATCTTCATGGAAAGCTTGATATATGTAATTTAACTTTGATTCATCCCACATTTAAATGACAGAACCTTAACTTGGTGAAAAACCTGCCACAAGAAACCAAGTTAGAAACATAAAGAAAATGTTGAATTTCTTATCCTTTAACAATTAATTCATAAAGTTTTTTAGGCATGTCGAACTCATAAAAATAACTATCAATAAACTCAAAATACATTAAAAATCATAGTGTAAAAAAATAAAAAATATATATTTTTCACTTATCAAGTCCCCAAACCCAAGATCTGTATATAGATAACAATAACCATAGACATCTATTTGAGGAACTGGAAAAAAGCTAGAATGTTCTGAATTACTCACTCTTAAAATTGAAAGAGAGTATAATATTTATACAATTATAGTGGTCATCGATATCGCCAATCATTATATTGTGGAAGGATTCCAATGCTTCTCGTATCCATAATTTTGAAAATTAGCCTCACTTGTCAAGTAGACCCAAGGCTGGAATCAGGTTGGATTGAGAAAAAAACAAGGAAAGGAAAAACTCGGTATAACCTGACAACCCGGTTGTAACCTGTTAATTTTTTTTTATTAAAACGATATCATTTTAATATTTTTTTAAAAAATTGACCCAGCCAACCTGGTAACCTAGTTAAAACCCGGTGACCCGGTCAAAACCCAAAACCCAAGCCTTGAACCGAGTCAACCACTAGAATAGGTCTTAAAACTATGCTTGTATCAGTTCCAAAGCCTCTTGGTGTTGCTTTATCATTAAATAAAATATCTCAACTCCAAACATACATGTCACTAATTTTCTAATTTAGTACTATGTGTAGACAAAGGCCCTTCAACTTCCAGCTTGTTGCGATCTGCATACCTCTACTTTTTGTTTTTGGATTAAAGTGAATGTCCAGATTAACTTATGCATATTTCAACTAATCTCATAGAATTTAAAATTAGTGATCATATAAATTTTTAATAATTCTAAAATTTATAGGACTTGAACTGGTAATTTCTAAAAAATAAATTAAAAATTTAACTGGTTGAGCTACACTACTCATGGTTCAAACCTTACTTTCTTGATCAATATGAAGGAGGATCTAGTGAATCTTATGATAAGAGCCTGGCTGCTGCGTTTGAATGGAGTTATGAGCTTTCATAAGATTTTCGATAGAGAATTCAAGCCAGGGTTTGCTTTGTGTACGCTCCAAAGTACGTGGATGGGCTAAGGTATATTATGATATGTGGACACTAAATCCTCTTACGGGTGAGTATATCATGCTTCCATTCAATCTGAACACCAAATATTTCTATCGGTGTGGGCATGGGCAGAGGTATGCTAAAGGCTGGGATGTGTTGTAGCCAGGACAAGGTTTTATTAATATTTTTTTACTAGTTTTATATAAAAAAAAATTTTAATTCTTAATTAAGTTATTAAAAAATTCTAAAAATTTATACGAAGCATTTTAATATGATGTTTTAACTTAGGTTAAAATTTCAGAATTTTTTGAATTCAGAAATTTGATGAAAAATTATAATTTGATTAATTTTACATATATTATTGGGTGTAATTTTCAATCCAACCATCAGATTGAGCTAAAATTTTACGAGAAATCTTAAAATATATTAAATAAAATCTGGTGAAAATTTTATGATGAATGGAGAGTTATCAAAAAAATTTAAAAATTTAAGTGAAGCCTTCTAATATGATGTTTTAACTTGGGTTAAAATTTTATAATTTTTTGAAAAAATCAGAAATTTGATGAAAAATCACAATTTGATCAGTTTTACATACGTTGTTAGGCGTAATTTTCAATCCGACCATCAAACTGAGCTAAAATGTTATGAGAAATCTTAAAATATATTGAATAAAATCTGGTTAAAATTTTAGGATGAACGAAGAGTTATTGAAAAATTCTAACAATTTACGTGAAACCTTTTAATATGATTTTTTAGCTTGGGTTAAAATTTCATAATTTTTTGAGAAATTCAGAAATTTGATGAAAAATCACAATTTGATTAGTTTTATATACGTTATTGGGCGTAATTTTCAATTTGACCATCAAATTGAGCTAAAATTTTGCAATAAATCTTAAAATATATTGAATAAAATTTGGTTAAAATTTTAGGATGAATGGAGCTTGGTAGTGCTAACAAAAAAAAAAAAAGCAAAACAGGTCATTAAAAGTAAAATAGTTATTTTTTATTAAAAAATAAAATAAATTAGCTCTTCTTTCTTTTTATATGTTGCCAATTAGGCAGAAGCAGAATAGAAAAAGAAAGAAAAGAAAAGGTTAGGGAGAAATAGAGAAAAGTAAGGGGAAAACATAAAAAAATCTAAGGAAAAAAAAAAAGAAAAGTGAGAGAATAACTTTGTAAACTTACAAAATTCAACTTATAAAACACTAATCTAAGAAAGAATCAAAGAAAGGAGGAATTGAGAAAGAAAAAAAATTTAATTACTTTGTTTTCTAATTGACATCAGATTATTATTTTATCTCGGTTAAAAGGTTGTTACAATATCGATTAGATTTAATTATAGATGAATTATATTCCACAAAACATTAAAGGATATAACTTTAATAGTGAGTTTATTTTTGCTTTTATTTTAATTTTATGTACTTTGAAATTTATTTTTTAATATTTTGAATAATATATTTGAATTAAAATTTTATTATTAACTTTAAAAATTTATGTATATAAATTAATAATTAATTTTAAAAAATATTTATATATTTATTGAATAGCTCAGGACAGAAAAATTTCTGCCTCCGCCGGTTGTGGGATAGCTTTCCCTAACATTGAATGGAGATGCTACCATAGGAGCTGAGGTCAACACAATTGGTTCTGCACTTCTGCGGAGTGGATAAACATTGTTGTGCCAAAATATAAATACTATAATCGGTATAGCTGGGTAAGTTTTACTGATGTCTACGTTAATGGTTCTATTCATTGGCTTATCATGGACAGTTCGGTGGCTGATTCGAATGTGTGCTTTTGATTTGAAACTGAGAAATTTATATCACTCATTGCCACCAGATTTTCAAAATTCTAAATCAAGGGTAGATGTAGGGTTATTTAAAAGCTCCATTTATTTTTTTAGTTGTGATCATAGTTTAAATCCAAAGTCTGCCAGGGGTATGGCTGATGAAGAAGTATGGCGTTGAGGGATCTTGGACTGAGATTCTTGTTGTGGATTTCAACATTAGATACTGCTATTCAAGGGATGTTCAAGTGATAGATTTCTTGGAGAACAGGAACGTTCTATTAGAAGATGGCAAATTTGTAACATTATTTTTGCACAATCGAAAGGAAAGGTCTCGTAAAGAAGGATAAAGGGAGGCAGAATTTTTCGACTCTACCTTTGTTAACAAACCAGGCTTTGCTTCCCTTGAAGATGTGGTGGGAGATAGCTCAAAGGTTTTGAAGGGTTTTAAATGGGATCGTCGAAAACCCTGAAGGGATGAATTGTCTGTGTTTAATTTGCTGACAGTTTGAAGGACTTTTGGTTGTGTTTAACTGTTGTTTTTCTTTCTTTAATTTATGTATCATACATAGTAATTTTGCTACAAACATCTGACAATTGTTCATTTATCATATGTTTCATGTTATTTCTTTTCAGCTGCAATATGATCTCTATACTATATTCAAATCAGTAAATAGGATCTTGTTTTCATTCTGATATATATACTGCTTCAAATGCTTCTGCTAGTGCAATAGCTAGGCTCCAATGGACTCTGTGATTCTGATTGATTTCTGTTGTTAATTACTAGTACTAGTGTAGAAACATCTTCTATAATCACATGGATTGTTCAGATCATTTTCTCTTCCAATTTGCCTCAACTCTGTTGATTACCAGTGTTTCTATTGATTATACCATCATGTTTCTTTGCTAGTTATCTTAGTAAAAAATGATTATAATTGGTGTTTTTCAGTCCTCCAATGTTCAAACAAAATGATAATAATTGGTCTTAATTCTGTCAAATGACACAAGAATATGTAAAGGGTATGGAATTCAGAATTAATTGATGGGATTTCAAAGGGATAAAGCTCTTGAAAAGGCAAGGACGTTCCATTATTGACTCTGAAGCTTTATCATGATGAGGCTTAACCTCTGCAGTTGTCCAACAGAAGTTGTTTTGTACAAATTGCATTGCCTGTAATGCAGCCAAACTTACATTCACTACTAGTTAAGAAGATTCCATTCATGAAGGAAATGCTCATATCTGCATGTCTTGATTGAATTAGATTTAAGGATAAAATTCAACTCGCTTTCCTACAAGGAAATCATAATTTCTTGTTTATTTCTCAACAACAAGAAGAAATGCAATTAACATGGCCAACAACAGACAACCTACTTATGAACGCAATGAAATCACAAACACTGCATGCTCTCAATTTCCTTAACATATGAAAATCCACTTAGTTGTGTCCTCATGATCCACCATTCGCACCCCTACTAGATATTTCCTTACCACAACCCACATTCTCTCTAACAAAGATCCTCGGGATGGAGAAGAAAGGATCACAAAGAGATGGGACCTTGTTGCAGCATCCGCTTCTCCTTGTACTTGCTTTAGCTATAGGTTTTGTTATAATGGATCCGTTTAAAATGGGACCTTTGGGACACCATGATTTCAAGCCTGTCAAGCATGACCTTGCACCTTACAAGCAAGTCATGGAAAACTGGCCTAGAGACAATAAAAGCAGATTAGGGTCCGGGAATTTGGAGTTTGTCGATGAAGTTTTCGGCCCTGAATCGTTGGAGTTCGACAGCCTGGGGCGAGGCCCTTATGCTGGGTTGGCTGATGGACGTGTTGTGAGATGGATGGGAGAGGATGTTGGATGGGAAACATTTGCTCTTGTTTCCACAAACTGGTAAGTTCTATAAATGACATCATCAAAACACATCATATTTTCATTTGTTGAAAATTAACCCACTATATATCTCAACAAGTCAAGAGGATCATCAAGTTCATCTAAGCAATGGAAGCATGAGAAAATTTGTGCTAATTATTTTTTGAATTGGCTTTGAAACATGCTTAATTATTCTTTGAATTGGCTTTGAAAGGTCAGAGAAACTTTGTGCTAGGGGAGTTGACTCAACCACATCTAAGCAATGGAAGCATGAGAAACTGTGTGGTCGTCCATTAGGTCTGAGGTTCCACAAAGAGAGTGGAAATTTGTACATTGCTGATGCTTATTATGGCCTTCTGGTTGTTGGACCTGAAGGAGGACTTGCTACTCCTTTGGCCACTCATGTGAGAGGGGACCCAATACTCTTTGCAAATGACCTTGACATTCACAAGAATGGATCCATCTTCTTTACTGACACCAGCAAAAGATACGACAGGGTGTAAGAGTACACAAAAACAGAAGCTGTTTTTACAAGATTTGGCTAATTTTGTTAAGTTTTGGAGATTTTAATAGGAATTTCTTTTGCAGGGACCATTTCTTCATATTGTTGGAAGGAGAATCCACTGGCAGGCTTCTCAGATATGACCCTCCTACCAAAACGACTCACATTGTATTGGATGGCTTAGCATTTCCAAATGGAGTTCAGCTATCTAAGGATCAAACTTTCCTGGTCTTCACTGAGACCACCAATTGCAGGTAATGTGTATAGATATCTCTGTAATTCCCCAAAATTTTCACAGAATTCTGACATAACCGTGGTGTTGTAAGATCCAAAATTAGTATTCTATTCAAATACTGGACTATGAACATCATGAACATTAACACTTTGTAGGTTACAAAGTAATAATAAGCTTGATCATTTTGTTATGGAAATGCCACAGAATAATGAAATACTGGCTAGAAGGACCGAAAACTGGAAAGGTTGAACTTGTTGCAAACTTGCCTGGTTTTCCAGACAATGTAAGACTGAATGAAAAAGGCCAATTCTGGGTTGCAATAGATTGTTGCAGGACAGCAGCTCAAGAGGTTCTTACACACAATCCATGGGTGAAGAGTGTCTATTTCCGGTTACCAATCCGTATGAGGTACTTAGCATGGCTGATGGGCATGAAGATGTACACAGTTGTTTCCCTCTTCAATGAGAATGGCGAAATCTTGGAAGTTCTTGAGGATCCGAAGGGTGTCGTAATGAAGCTAGTGAGTGAAGTCAGAGAAGTAGAAGGGAAGCTATGGATTGGAACTGTAGCTCATAACCATATTGCTACCATTCCTTATCCCTAGCATCGAAACCATCTTTGATGGTTATTTTGTTTATCTGTGGTGTACTAAATGTCGTCTTTAATTTGGAATTTCCTTCATTTAACAATGGTTAAACAACTTGCAGACTTCTCTGTCACTTTCTAGATCTCTTCCCCGAGTTTTTTTTTTTTTTCCTTGAGAATCTTCATCCCCTTGTGATCAGTAAGATTTGCCAAATAAATGCTGAATTTTGTAGCTTAATAGTCAAGAAAAATGCAGTTAAGGCTGTGGTATAGCAACAAAGGTGACCAAACACGCAAGCATCCAATATCACACAAGTAGAGAACAAGGGTACACCCGAGGACAAAGCTTAGAATTTTGAATCAACAAATCGCCATCAAAGGGCCATGATGGAAGAAAGGTTCTACATAAACTAATATTAAATGCTTAAGCTATAAACTCAATCTTCAAGGAAACTAGAATATAGAACCCGCCTAAATGAGGTATGAATGTAAAGTATCTAAAAGTGGAGATAAAAGGTAAATGTCCTATGTGACAACAGATTGTAACTAGGTTGTAAACAAAAGCAGACAGAACATTCTGTAGCTGGTCTGATGATCATGCTATTCTCAGTCCTTTCATGAAGAGGAATTATCCTCAGATGAATTATCTTTCTGGCTTGAAGAAGCCATTGAACCTCTCATTTGCAAATCCCCACCTTGTTGCTGCTGCTGTTGAAGTTGTTGCTGTTGAAGCTGATGCAGCTGGAACTGCTGCTGCTGCTGCTTCTGCGAATGAATTTGGAGTTGTTGAAACTGTTGTGCAGCTAAGAAAGTATGCATTGCTTGATTATTGGGATACAATTGCTGGCCTCCTCCAAAAGATGCATAGTTTGGCACTTGACCAGTCAGTACCTTCAGATGCTGAATTTCTTCTTTCAGTGCATCATTCAAGGCTATCGCAAAACAAATAACATCATTAAGACGAGTAACAAAAGAAGTTAGTAATCCAGATGATTTCAGAATTAATATGCAAAACCACACAGAAACAGGGACGCTGTGCAAATTTTATTGACTACCTCCTATTTAATAGTTCTAACAAATTCATCTCAAGTTCCAGAAGCGTGTTACAAAAAAAAAAAAAAAAAAAAAAAAAAAAAAAAAAAAAAAAAAAAAAAAAAAAAAAAAACAAACAAAGAAAGAAAGAAACAGCAAAAGATGATTCACAACCCTGGATGAGAATAAAAACTACCACCTTCCAAGGTAAGTTATAAACCTCAAAGCATAGGGTAAGTTAGCAATAATTTTTTAGAGTACATAAGAAATCATTCACAAAATAAATAGCATGCACGAGAATTTGGAAGTGGAAGAGCTACTTGAACACCAACTTTATAAACAACAATCATTTCTGCAATAAACGTCCATCAGCAAGGCCCAAAAAAATCTATATAACTCAATGCATAGCATCCTTGACACCTTTTACATGCCACTCAATCTACCCAGGCTATATCTTATATCATCTTAGTAACTTCAAAATTTATTTCCTCGTGTGGTAGACATTTCTTATTTGTCCATAACTAACACCATATCAGAACATTATTGCATCCCAAGCAAAGTACACAATCAGTTAAATGCTACCAATTGCGCATTCATTTAAGACTCGTATATAAATAATACCCAAAACCTGACTTTAAGACAACTGAAGTATGCATATTTTGGAGAATTTCTGAACCGAAAAGGAACATAAATAACACCTATTATCTTACTAATTAATAAAAGTCAGCTCAGTTCCTAGCCCTAGAACCTTATCAAGGAATGAAATAAATAACACTATGGTTTTAATGCATGCTCTCGTCCAGGCTAATATCAACAAATAATCGAAGTACTGATATAATCAAGCATACAGAGAACCACAGCTGATCCCATATATAGCTCAACAAAAACAACTACAAAATCCTCTAGCACTGAAATGTGTCATAAATGACAAGTAATCAGCATGCCTGGCCACTAGACAGAGGAGGATATTAATTTTTCTTCACTGATCAACTGACATAAGAGGGAGAAAGAGAGGTTTAGCGCATGCAGATACCATACCACATTGAACAATATTTCTAAGCAAAATATAGATCATGCACAGCTCAGAAAATAGACAAGCCTCTGTGTGTTTGTGTGTCAACTGACATAAGCGAGAGAAAGAGAGGTGTGTGTCAACTGACATGAGAGAGAGAGAGAGAGAGAGAGAGAGGTTTAGTCATGCAGATGCTATATTGAACAATAGGTCTAAGCAAAATCTAGATGGAGCACAGCTGCCATGTTGAACAATAGTTCTAAGCAAAATCTAGATTGCACACAGCTCAGAAAATAGACAAGCCTCTGTGTGTGTGATTACATACAGCTGCCATATTGAAACAATAGTTCTAAGCAAATCTAGATTGCGCACAGCTCAGAAAATAGACAAGCCTGTGCATGGCAATCTGCAGGTCATAGAATGATGAAGCGTACACAACTAATGCCAAATATCTAGCCCATGCATATGCTGACATAAGTGGATATCACTATTAGATGACATGGGCAAGAAAAGATAAAACAGGGCAACATTGTAGTTTGCACTCATACACTTTTTATACATCAATGGGTTTTGACATGCCTCTTCAAAAAAATCATAATGAAATAACAAATATTGATGAAAAAAGGAACAAAACAAGCAACTGAAGTTGTCTAATTGCATTTAGAAAGTTCAGCCAAGACCCTTACCATCTTGTAAGTGGACCTGTTGCTCCATCGTTTGCAAACGCAGTTTCAGTTCACTATTTTCAGCAGTCAGGCTGTTTGTATCCCTCTGTCACAGCATAACAAAAGAAAGACACATCCACTATCAATAAAACATACATTAATGTGTTCTGGATAGCAACATTACTAATTTGAATAACAATCAGAAAACATGAAAGGTAGGCTACAACTTCCATGTTACGATCAAGTTAAACCAGATACAGTTCACAAATAAAAAAGTACTTTGAGTTTATGCGACTTACCTGAAGAAGAGTCAATTGAGCAGACAACGACGTCGCTTCTGTTTGCAGTGTCTGCATTTTCCTTTCAAGTTCAGCTATGTACCGCATCTTCCTTTCCTTGGACCTTGCAGCAGATTGCCTGTTAGCCCAAATCCTAAGATGGAACAGAAAAGAACACGTCAGATGTCAATCTAAAATACATGAGAAGATGGCATGTCTATTTTCTCTCCCCTATGAGAGGAGGGTATAAAATAGGAAGGATGAAGAGTGGAGAGGGATGTGGACTTCGCAGCAGAGGAATTCAAGTCCATCGTTTTTATAAAACCAGTAAACTTTATTTAACAGCTTAACACAGATTCTGTACCATCTATATAACTAACTATTCCTAAAACAACTCCCCCATAAGCCGGGCATCACTACAACAAGTACCTTATGAAAAGTGAAAACTATTAAATTCAGCACTTCATAAGAATGTTGTTATGGAGCCAATAACTAACTCAAAGATGCCAAAGACAAACAAAATGTTTCAAAAACATTCAATTTCTTAGAACGGGCACAACCTTTTAATTTTCATGCAAAACTTCCCATCCAAACACGATATTACTAAATGAAATTAGCATCGAAAGCAATCTCATAATATAACAAATCACACCTTAACAATAGAAAAATTAAAAAGAATGAGAGACAGGATACCTTTTTGCACGCTTTGGATCTATAAGTGCAAGTTCAGCAAGCTTTGCCGCAGATATGGACTTCTTGGAATCAGCGTGAGATGCCTCCTCAGAACCTGACATGAGCATCTCTGGCTTGATAGTTGTCGAGCCATCCATTGAGAGGCTATGTTGATGCCTAACTTTAGGCCTTTCGCTAGGACCAGCACCCAAATCCACTGTTGCAGGCAGTGGTGTCAGTGGTTGTGCTGGCACTGGTGGAGCTGATGACTCCCCAACTTGAAAAGCAGATGTGGCCGAGGATGAACTGAACTTATCCATATCAAGGTACATTGACAAATAATCTTCCTCAGTTTCATCAGAGAAAGTTGTCCCATCTGTACCACCACCCACAACACCAAGATCACTGTCAAAGCTAATATCATCAGGGAGAGTGAGAATCTCTGAATGGGCACGACGGTGGCCCAAATTCTTAGATGGGTTATCAGACATTCGGCTGATATCATGACTAAATCGATTAGAATCCAATCCATGACCAAAATGACTAGGGTCTGAACTACTGCCAGGAGCCTTTGGAGGAAATGTAGAAGGCGATTGCTCAGGTTTCACGTTATAAGAGCTCCCAGAGGGTGAAAAACAAGAAAACCTCCCAGAAGGTGGTGGTAAACCACTACTATGGTTGCTAGGAGATTTATCCTTATCCATCCAGACAAATCACGAAAACCCCAAAACCCTATTCAAATTTTAAAACAGCTAGTTCAATAACTCAAGAAGGCAAAAACAAATAGTCCAAAAACTGAACATTTTGCACACAACAAAAAGTGAAATGCCAAAAAATCTTGATTTTGAAGCAAAAACTGAAGATTCTGCACACAACATTCAAACACCTAAAAGAAGCCAAAAAAACCCTCAGAAACACCCAAATTACACTTCAAAACAATAGATTATCCACTCTAATTCCAACAAAACACTAAAAACTAAAGACACAAACTCAACAAACCTAATAAAGTATCAAACTTGATACAAAGCTTCAAAATTTATGCATAACAACAACAAAACCAAGAAAAATGAGAGAGATCTGATTACACAAAACACAGAGAAATTACGAAAAAAAGGAAGGGATTATTAACAAGCAGGGAAAAGTAAGCAAACCCAAGAAATCAGGCAGCTGAGAGCTCCTTGGGATTGGTGAGAAAGAATTTACCAGGAATCAGAGAATCTCCTAGGAAAATAATTCAGACATGAATTCTCTCTCTCAGAGAGAATTTGGGGGCTTTTAGATCTTCTAATTCCAATTTTAAAGACAAAAACTCAAAAAGTGTAAAAAAAATTAAAAAAAAACAGAAAGAGAATCATATTCAAGCCATTTCACATGGTCACACTTTAACTTTTTCTATTTGTATACATATACTATATCTATACAATACACCAAACATATATTTATACACACATAGTTGTCTGTATGTATTTTTGTATTAAAAAAAAAAAGGAAAGGTTTCTGGAGGGTGTAAATGCAGTTGTATTACCTTGTACGGGGATTGATAATTACAAAGCTTTTTACCCTTTGTGAATTTCCAAATTCGGATTTCTAGTTTTTATTGTTTGTACAAGATTTCCCCACTGGTTTTGTTAAAAAGATGAGGGGTGTGGAAGGAGCATGAATGGTAATTTATCCTGAAATTAATGGATATTATTCTAATTTGATCTAAATTTGTGGTTTCAATAGATAATACAGAGGATATAAATATTACTAAACTTGACTCAAAACTCGATTTAATATATATACACTCACACACTTAATGTATAATTTATAGTTTGTGTATTAAACTATTTTTCCTTTCTTTTCTTATCATTTCATCTAGAATTTTTAATATGAGCAAATTGGTAGGTTATAAGTCTTTCAATTTCTCCTGAATATGTTATTTATAGGTGCTACCATATCTTATTAAATTAAATCAAAATATTATCCTTAAAAAAAAAAAAACTCAACCGGTGAGTATTTATAATCATCCCTATAGAGAGAGTGTGTATTGAGCAAGGTTTGGACATATTATTAAAAGGTAAAATGGGAGGTGAAGGGGAAGTTGGGTGAGTGTGAGATGCTTTAGAACCAATCAAGTTTGCTTACATTCAAAATTCTAGATGAAAGGATAAGAAAGGTTACACAAATACACATTTTATAAATAATTAATTAGGCTTAATTTTTTAGCTAGAAAATAACTATATTAAAATTTTATTTTCTTCACTAAATATTACAATTTATACTTGATTAATTTGTAAATGATAATGTTTTAAGATGGCAATCTAGTCAGGGAAGAATTCATCAATTCTTTAGATATAAAGATTTTATAAATTTATAAAAAAAAATTAGATGAATTTATAAAAACCTTTAATATCGATAATCAAGATAATTAATTTATTAAGATAGTTAGATAATTATATTTTTTAAAACATTTTACAAAAGATTTAATAAATGCATCGATCATTATTTAAATGATCTTTAATAATTTATTTTAAAGAATTTATTATCATATTATAAATATTACCTTGTGTCATGAGAAAGATGAATTTTAAATTATTGAAATTGATGATTAAAAAAAATAAAATTAAGATTGTTAACAAGATAGTAGTGGAATAAACACCATAAATAGATCTACTACCATGCTAGTAGCATGTCCAAATCAAGCTTGACTCCTTGTCCAAGCTCGGTTTTCTTTCATTTCTTTTTTATTTTTTATTTTCATCTTTTTCTCTTTTCAGATACACACCTTAAGAATATTTTTATTCTAAAAAATATATTACACTTTCTTGCCACTAAATAATCTCTCACTAACTTATTAGAATAGCTTTTCCATCAATAGTCATCCTTGTGGTTTGTTTTACCATATCTAAAACATTAAAAATTTAAAACTATATTTAAAACTCGAATCCTAACTTGTGGTTTATTTAGTTATTGATTCAGGTTGAATGAATGGTGCTTGTTTGTTGGTACGCACCTCTCTGTTAATCTGGTAAAAATAAAATTCATATATGTTAGTTACCCCTAACAACTTGTTATTTCTCCATAATCAAAGCCATGTGATATGCTTCTAAAACTATGTAAAGATTGCAAACACAGTTCATCTTGGATGGACTATCATAATTCATTTAAATATATGGAAACCAACTACTTTTTTGTTTTTAACATATCATCACAGCTACTAGTTGGCAAAAATCATCAGTGTTATCAATAGTTCATCCACTTTATCTCAATATTCTCGATATATGAATTTGTTGATATAAAGTTTGAGTATACTAGAATGAAAGAAAATGTTCTTTCATCTTTTCAAAATCATTAATCTTTTATTTGTTTTATCTCTCATAAGACCTTTTTATTTTATTTTATTTTATTTTGGTGAAAAAAAATCACCCCTTTAATCTATTGGCAATGAGCTTCACCTTTATTTGCTAAGAAACTTGCAATCTTCTCAACCTTATTTAACCAATTGATAAATTTTTTTGCTTGTAAAGTTTATGCAAAATCAAAAAGTTTAATTTAAAATTTAAAATCAATATAATGTTATGCCCGATCAAAAAGGTACCTTTTCTGAAATGAGGTTTCAGTACTAGTTAGACACCTAAAATTACTATGCTCTTATTCTTGTTGGGTCTTTTAAACCAACCGCCAAGGAAGCTCTATGATATGTCTTCTATGATATGTCTTTGTGTATCTTTAATAGCCATCTCCTGATTATTTTTCTCTCAAGAGGGAACCTTTTCATCCCCTCCTTCATGAACACATTTTGTTTTATGACATTTTCCAATCATGATTGTTTTACATCATACGAGAAGCAAACAATGATCATAGATCATTAGACTCTGATACCAATTAATACAAAGTTTTAATACCAATTGACGTAGATGAAAACAACACAAGAAAGACAACGATAACAAACAACATAAAATTCTGCCAAATATGATCACCACATCAAAAACCCTAATTTAAAATTTTATTTTTCAATCATTCACCACATCAAGTACCTTCTCTTTAAGAGGTTCACATCTCCTTTAATAAAATCAACAAACAATCTAAACAAATTAGAAAACCTAACAATAATAAAAAAAAAAATCCTAAAACAATTAGGAAAAATAAAATTATCAAGCATAATATTTAATTTTCTAAAGTAAATAGATAAAAAAAATATAAAAACATTTCTCCTAAAAATCCTCCTATATAACAAAAAACAAATCACTTATCATCAAATAAAAAAGAAAAAAAACATTTCTCCATTTATATGACACAACTAGTGATATGTTATGTTATACACATGGTACATACCATCTATTACATCATTACATTAAACGCTTGTCTCCATTTGTATAGATTTTATTTTACAATACACACACATAAAATCGTAATTGACATAAAGGACCAATAAACTGAGAATTGAGAAAGATAGAAAATATATTATTTTATATTGTTATATTCCATTATTAATACATTTCATGGAGCCTTGTTATTCCCTTTTTTCTATCACAAAGCAATCTTCAACAATGCTGAAGTACTCTAAAGGACAAGAATAAAATAAAATAATAAAATGGAGAAAATTTATTATAATCCATACCACACACAGCCAACATACTCTGGAAAAATTGAAAACAATAATCATGCAGGTGGATAGGAGTTTGTTTAGGATAAGGATAGTCAAAGGTTAAGTAGTAGCAGTAGTAGTTTTGCCTTGAAAGAGAAGTAAATTTATATTAAATCAAATCGAAAACATAAAACTAATTAAAAAATTTGCAGATTGTAAACAATGGATAAATTAACATAACATTTGAGCTCATAGTTGTTGAGAGATCACCTATTATTCCCTACCAGTTCCTTTCATAAGATCAGGATGCACCCTTACCATCCTATTGTGTTCATAGACTTAGACTGGACACTTTGTAATCCTCTCATGTTGTTATGATTCAGTATTAATCAACTGTTAGAAGATAATCCCATTGTTATAAAATCCAGTTCAACTCGGAAGGCAACCTGGTAATTTACCGACCTCAACTGGACATAGACTGATTTTTATGTAGAATCAAATCAAAAGTTAATCCGGTCAAAACTAGTTGATTGATTTGAACCTATCAAAACCAAATCAACACTATTATGGATTTAACTGGATTAACCCCGAGCTAGAGCCAAACTGGATGGGGCAAAACTTGCATTTAGCACCGGACTTGATATGGAGCTTGTTTGACGGGTTCAATAGACAATATTGTCATAACTGGGGGAAATCCTGCAAGTCTGCTTGTTATGCCTGCACATGGCTTGTTTATGAATGTTCCCGTAACGTTGTGGTAATGTATCTAAAAATAAATTTTGATTTGGTAATTCACTATTCAACACTTGAAAATATTCTAAATTTTCTTGATTTGGCAATTCACTGTTAGGCACTTCAAAAATGAGAAAGCTATTAAAAAAAAAAAGAAGAAGAAGAAGACAAAAACCAGTGCATTAGGATTTCTAACACTTGTTATCTGGGATGGCTTGAAAACATTTTGTTTTGATAATCACCTTTTGAAATCAACGAATTCATAGTATAAGAAACAGTACGATGACAGATATCAAAACAAAGAATGAAAGAAGATAGTTCATTTCCACCAAAGCACTCGTAAATGGGAAATCAGTGGCTCACACACAACAGGCAATCCAGGAAATGTAGCAAGGTTTTCCCCAAACACCACAACTTTATTATATGTATTAACAAGGGAAGTATTCTTTATAGAGGACCTTCAACCACGAGGATGATCATCAGAAAATGTAGTCCGGCAGTTGGAGTGGAAACCGACCAACTTCAACTTTAAATGGAATTCCTTTTGGATCTGCCAATCTTGAGGAAACCAAAAGAAATAGGGTTATAAACAAAGAAACAAAGCCGCATGAGTTTTGCATTAGAAACTAGTGCATGAAAGATGTGAATGTTGCTGCTAATATCATTGTCGGACTAGGATAAAGCAGTGTTCAAATTTTCTGTTGAAGGATAAAACCACAGTTAGGTTTTGGCAATTACAATGCTATAAGAATTAGCAAGATTCTGATCAAGCAACCGAATATATCCCTATTTTGGTAAGCATTGCCTACAGCCATAAACAGATTCATTTAATGATAATTGTTCAATCAAATTGGCGTATGAGATTTATGTATCTGTCATGTGAAACTCAAAAATCACCAAATAGTGACAGAATGCCATTAAACTAAAAGGCAGTTCCATCTTTGTAAGATCAATCCAGGCACATCCAGGACTTATAATCCTTGTTCTAAAGATATTGACGTGATGTAACTTATAGGATATGGAGAATCCATGTGGACTACCTGCCAGGGACAAATGTGAAAGAACCTTCAACAGAGCCAGTAGAAGTTGGCAGAGGTGTACAACTCTCATAAACAAATTCATTCTCGCCTGGAAACAAGAGTGGGAACTGCAAACATACAAGTTAAGTCTGAGATTCTGCACAATTACCGAACAACAAAAGATATCCTCATAATATAGATTTATGATAATTATATGCAGCAAAAAGCAACTAATTTTAATTTTTTTCCCTTCTAGACGGTGTTCTATAGGCACAAAGAAGTTTCTTCTATGGTTTCATATGATTATTATTGTGAATTCCTGGTTCATGGCATATCATCCGTGGCAATCATTTGCCTAGAAATCTAACTTGCAAGTTGGTAGAGTCAGAAAATATCAAGTGGAACAACAGCAGTTCCTATTTTTTCACTCCCGTTTTTTGGACCAAGAAGTTGCATCAGCCAGTAAGATCTTCACGCTACCTAAAGCTCAAGTTTGTTGAATCAAGGAAAATAAATTAGTACCATGCCTTCATCTCTTTTTGGGAGTTTGCTTACCCCACAAAGGGTGGAAAACCATATAGAAGTTGCCAAGAGTTGGATATTACAATGGCAAATCCATGTCCAACACAAGATCTAATAGATTCAATATGGTCACGCGCACTCTCCCTGGTAGCTTTCTTAAATTAATGGGAAACTAAGCCATTACATAAGATTCATATCATCTACTTTGTCCCCAGTAGGCACTTTTAGAAGCTCCCAATTGTTGCATCTAGAAGGCCACACATGAGGACCCTGAGAAGTCTATGAACAAGGTGGGAAAAAAGGGGTGGAAAGATTGGTAAGTGCAGTCCAAATATTTACCCAAGAAAAGAAAATGAAATTCCCACTCAAAGCAAGATAGAAATGAATATCTACCCAAGAAATTATTAAGCCATACCTTGCCTATCACAGCCTCTGCATTGATATTAGATACAACAGTATCATTAGCACTGATGACCCAGTGCCTCAGGTGCAGTTGGCAAGAGCTGAAGTGCATTCCGTTGATGATGCATCCTTCTGGTAGAAGGGACATGCGGATTGAATAAGCAAACACGTATTTTCTAGAAATATCTTCCAGATCAGCAGCCTCTGGCACAAAAACAGCAGAAGCACGAACCTGGAAACCAACACTTTTAGTTGATACATAAGTATTTATTTAAAAGAATAAAAATAAAAATATGTACACATTTAGTATCGAAGAATGTAATGTTTACTCATCTTTCTAGCAAAAGTAAAAATGAGAGTCAAAATTCCAGCAGGGGAACCGTGGATACAAATAAAAATTGCAAAAGCAGCACTTTAACAAAGACAAGAATGAATAACATTACATTTCTACTGAGTATTCCCAAACACTTTACTACGAAAAAGTGTTGCAAGTTATAAGTTGATACCATATCAAAATAATACTGTAGGCGTGATTCAGCAGATATTGTGTTGATTTTCTAAAAATTTATATCAGCGGTATTGGTTAAGAGTTATAGGCATGCACCGAATTAAACATATAGCCTCAGGTAGTGCAACACAAACAGCTGCTACATACCACTCTGAAGAAATGGAACTTATGAAATTTAGCTTCTTTTTTTTAATTATTTTTTTATTTGACTCACATGTAATTTGTGCAGAACCAGGAAAAAACTAATCCCCCTTCCAAGTGAATCCTAGGTACCAGAGGGCCATTAACCCTCAACATGGACCGGAGACAGATAGATTCCACACCCCCCCCCCCCCGGC